CCCTACCCTCAAGGCAGTAGGCAGTATGGGTTCCTTAGGTAGTTTACAATCTATCCTACATATTTTTAATGAAATCTTTGGCCTGAATCATCTATAAATGCGACTTTGTAAAAATATGTCTATTGTCACATTTCACACATATGCATGTCATTACATCAATCCTTCATGTATCTTTCTAAACTATTAGGGCTATTATAATGGACATATATGGGTGTTATTCCAGGTCTCTGATCCCATCACAGGCTTGTCATGTTGGATATCTCAACATAATGTGCAAGTCTCGCTATTAATATTCATTCTTTTATCTTTATGCTCACTTACTGCACACATGTACAAATGCACGCCTCATCTTTACATCATTGCTAACATGCCAGACAAATATATAATCCTCATACCTGCATCATCCTACCTCAGTCTATTTGTTCTCAGACTGAGGTATGACTATACATTCATTATCATACTCAACACTGACTAACATTTAACGTAGTCTTCAAATAATCTCCAATTGACAAGAATGACATGAGTATGAAAATCAGTGGATCTGAGCCCAGCACCGCAACCATCACTACACTGAGTACCAATACTTGGTAGGACCACCAATACACTCACATAGACTCAGACTATAACCTTCATTAAGAAAGTTAAGCATAATAATAATTTTCAATTTTTCATTATCATTTTCCTATATTGACTAGCGAGTCCCGAGTCCCAACACTTGGTAGTCAATACAATTCCCAAGTTTTTTGAACCCTACATCAATGGATAATACATACAAATACAGAATTCATGTCCAGTTGTAGTCACGTGTACCGGGTGTTGAGTTTCGGGTTTCGGTACTCGACACTTGGTGATTTGTGCAATGAGTGAAATATGGATATGTTGTATACATATTTTCGGGTTTTGGGCTTTGGGTTTTGGGCTTCGGACATCGGGGCATGGGCCTCAGCACTCATCACTTGGTGATTTGTGTACCAGGTGTCAAGTTTCGGGTTTCGGTACTCGACACCCGGTGATTTGTGCAGTGAGGGAAATATGGATATGTTGTATACATATTTTCGGGTTTCAGGCTTCAGGTTTCGGGGTTCGGGCCTCGGCACTTGGCATTTGATGATTTGTTTAATGTAAATGAAAAATGGGCATGTTGCATACCGGGTTTCAAGTTTTGGGTTTTGGCACTCGACACTCGGTGATTTGTGCAATGACTGAAAAATGGATATGTTATATACATGTTTTCAGGTTTTGGACTTTGGGGTTTGGCCCTCGGCACTTGGTACTTGGTGATTTGTGTACTGGGTCTCAAGTTTCAGGTTTTGTCACTTGACACTCAGTGATTTGTGCAATGAATGAAAAATGGACATTTTGCATACATGTTTTTGGGTTTCGGGCTTCGGATTTTGGGTCTCAGGCTTCAGGTCTATCAGGACTCGGCACTCGGTGATTTGATAACTGGACTTTCAAGCTTCAGGCTTTGGGTGTTCAGGTGTTCATGTGTTTGGTGTAAGGAAATAGAAATTTCACACATTTTCACAAGTTTCCAGTTTCCAGTCTCGAGCTTGGGGTGTTCGGGTGTCCGGAATGGATGTTGCACAATGGGATTCGGTTTTTGGGCATCTGGGACTCGGTAATCCGTGAATGTCAGACAGATATCTCACTACCTCGGCCCACCTGTCTATATAACATCCCCCTCCATCGGCCCACCCGTCTATATAATGAATATTCCACCACTCCCTCGGCCCATCCATCTACAAAATAATTCCAGTATGTTGGCCCACCCATCTATACAATAAACCCTTACATCAGCCCACCTGTCTATATAATACATATTCCACCGCTCCCTCAGCCCACCCATCTATACAATAAACCATTACATCGGACCCACCCGACATCTTCGAGGATATATATAATATCAGCATAGATGGGCCCACCCATCTCCATCGGAAATAATATCCCTCCTGGCCCATCCATCAACATCGGGGATATACATAACATCGGCCCATAGTCCGCTGGCCCATCTTATACGGGATATTATGTAGGTCAGGTGACCCGTATAATACTGGAAATATGTCACTGTAATATGTGTGAAGCATATGTCGATGTGGACCTGGGCTTTGCAGGCCCACAGGCACTCTACTTCTGGGTACATTGTACTCTTGAACAGGGGAGCAGTAGCCTGGAGCACGCATAAGCAGCCTATTATTGCCCTTTCCACAGCCGAAGCAGAATATATAGCACTCACCAGTGTTGTCTGAGAGCTGCTATACCTCCACCTACTCCTCGAGGAACTCTATGGCATCACCCAACGTCCCATCCCTATTCATTGCGGCAATCAGGCTGCCATCGCACTTGCGATGAATGGAAAATTCCAATCATGCACCAAACATATCGACCTTCATTATCATTTCGTTCATTCTCACGTGAAGGCCAGAACCTTCAAGCTGCAATACTGCCCCACCGATGACAACATCGCCGATGCATTCACCAAGGCACTAGCCCGCCCCCGCTTGCAGAGACTCAGAACCCTGATGGGACTAGCTTGCGCTCGAGGGGGAGTATTGATGTCATCCAAAGATATTGAGCACGGAGAGACTCGGGATGCCAAATAGCAGGTACGAGCGCAAGGGATATGTTGGGGGCGGGAGGAACAGAGAAGGAGCTGTTGACGTCAGGACTCAGGACCGAAATGGTCCAAAGTAAATTTTTACCTTCAAAATAATCGAGAGCGCTTACCGTATAAATACTAGTGCCCAACCGTTACGAGCGTCTCAGTTCTTTCCAGAGACTGAGACGTGAGTCTATACCTTTACCATTATTGTTACACTTAACTGACTTAGCATAGTTATTCTTACCTGTTAGATCTTTTCTATCCCACTCTACCTCTAATCTATAGAGATCGCTGATTAGAAATATCGTAAAGTCAAGTGAGGAATGAAATCGAGTTATACCAGCGAGCTAGCCGACGAAAAGACGAAATCTAGTACCAAGGACCGAGTCTGAACACAACTGCATCTAATTGCATGTAAGGTCAGTACTCGTATTAGTAGTACTACTACTTATCATACTACATATATGATTTACGAATTATCCACGTTACCCCCCCACTCGTGAGACGATTTTCGAATGATGTACTCGCTTTATAATCGTTAACGTTCACGCTGACTACCAATAAATGACATTAATTGACCAAACGTTTACAAATCAAAATCTACTTGGATTCAATCCTACTAGACTTCTGCTCTACTTCGCATCCCAATACTTACTTCATCCAATCAAGGGCCCTGACTCGGAGGCGGCCATGAATCCTCATCATCATCATGCCGATAGTACGAGTGCTGACTCGGAACCTTAACGTTGAACGATGGTATATCTAGCATGAACACTAGATCATCATTATAACCCTCAATATCCCCCATCCACTTACACCTATCCCTCGAATACTATGACCTTGATATCAAACGATCCAAGTTGGTGGCCGATGATCGATTCGAATATTCTGAACAGCTATTGGATGGGTTCGTCTGATCAGTCAGTGATGTCTCGATCTAACAGTCACTTGCGGTTTCGCAGTTGCCGCAGGCCTCGTGGTAGTATACGATTGGGGTAAGAAGGACAGTCTTCGAACGACGAAAACCGCTGATGTTCTCGTGATATTTCCAGTACTAACACTCGGACAAGAGGTAGGTCGGTGCTGTTGCTGGAGTAGCCAACTCACTAAGAATAGTGCCATAGATTGAGCTAATCTGGGTAAGTGACAGAGTCACATATCGGAAGAAAAAAATGAATTCGTGATAGAGGCAACGTTGGTCTCTCATGACCGTGCTGTACCTCGTTGTTCGTATCCCACGTTACACTATAGTGTGATTGGCAAGTTGTGCTGACTCCAAAATGTTCTAGGTACGCTATATTGGACTACCGTATTCTGTGTATGTTTTGAAAGCCAATAAATTGGCGCTTTGCTAATAACCCACCTCTCATCATCAGTATCAGTGTTCTAGGTATGTCTCTAATGCACTGTATTCGATCCTTTGACTGGCTGCACACTAGCAGAATATATGCCAATGATCTCTCTGACAGATGCAGTGAGTATTCCGTAACTATCTTATTCATATCCAATGACCTCACTCATATGTAGGGGTGAGTGATATCTTGACCATTGAACTTGGCTCAACATAATGACTCGATAGGTGTGAGTCCTAGTGTTTGATCCTAGTACGACTGTGATCGCTAATTAGTTGTTTCAGGCACTATTACGGGCTACGCACTGGACGGGATAGGTGTAATCGTACCTGCTATGTTGGGTGGTGAGTGACCCAGCTGCAGTACCTCAGTGACATCGACTCGACTAAAACATGGTGCAAGTCATAATGATTGCTCGGTTACACGCCATGTATCAGGGATCTAGAATGGTGCTTATCTTCCTTGTTATGATCTTCCTTGCTGTAAACATCGCCTGCGGAGTACTCATGGCAATAGCACTCAAGTATATTGTAGCGGGTAAGCTTCACTTGTTGATTTGAGGAACCCAGCTCATTGAATGACTACTAGAGGAACTGATACTCTCTGGCAGATATATATGCGATTACGGGCTCGAGGGGCACTCCCCGTTTTTGATTTCAATGCTTTGGATGCTTTGCACTCTTTGGGAGGTCCTCGCACTGTGTCTTTCAGTCTATATTGCTGTAAAACATTTCCGTGACCTGCGACGACTCAGCCTATCGACAGGATCGACCATCGGGGACTGTTTCAGAGTACTGATAGAATCACACATGCTTTATTTCGCAACGTGAGCTTGTAATGTGAATATGGTTATCTTTTTCTGCTCACATTCCACACGTATTAGCTTTGCTTGTGTGTCTTGCCTCCAGCTTGTTTTCGTCTCTCCAGCTATTCTCGTGGTACGCCAACTTGTCGCTGACATCTGCTTGTAACAACCGCTCATCATTTTGTAGAATCTATATTCTAAAGATGCTATAATACTCTTTAGTACTTGCCAGGTTTTATTTGGCGTGCAGATGTTTGTGCTAGGACCACGCCTCATCCTTAGCGTTCGACAATATCACGCTAAACTCGTGGCCGCATCCGACGCAGAAACTAGCATGAATTCGATTGTCTTCGAGCAGCGTATACATGTACCAACTAGCAGTACCGTATAGGGAAATGCTCGCCGAGAAATCATTGAAACTGTATGACACATGTCTGTATTTGGTTCTCGTCTTGCTACAAAACAGTATGTTAAATATGCATGGTTGAACCATGGAAAGTTACTGTGACAAGAGACCGACATGTACGGTATATGCAACACGGTAGGGGATCCTATGGTAAGAACCACGAAACCTGTTAGCGCGGGTTTTCTCTCTAGCGCCAGGCGGGAGTGTGCCTGAAATGGGGACACGAAGCCAGGTGTCCAGTAGGGGAAAATACACAACCCCACTTTGAGTTGCCTCTGCATCCTGCCCGACAGACACAGTAGCAGTAATGACAGCTCGCGCAGCAGAGAAAGAAGCAGCTTGCAGCGAATTCTTTGGCATCTCTTCACGACATAACTTTGAAACCAATCCCAGTGTGAGGACGTCTGGTAGATCAAAATGAAGAGCGAACATCTGCCAAAATTCCGGGGGCAGTGTTGCAGAGACGCTGGGTGGTGCACCGCTAACCCCCTGAGCAATGGACATTTTGTAATCAATGCGCTATATATGCGTTTTCTAATGCATTCTCCAGTGCCCACGACAGACCTTCATAGGCTACAGCACGCCCAAAGAGTGCAGGGTCGATGCGACAACCAAGGCGAGCAAGAGCGGTGATTCATGGCGTAGAAGGGGACTCTGCGAGGAATGATGGTAAATATTGGAGAGAAGCGGTATGACTGAACGTCGTGTGTACATCCTTTACCACTTTGACGATTGCACAATGGGAAATAGAGAATGCAACTCCAAAGTAATCACCTAGAGCATCCCGCTGCTAAGATTGATTTGATCAAGCGTGACATGGGTGCCTGCAGGCGTCTTTCATCGCCTAAGTGCGTTGCGAGGCAAACCACGATATCTTCGATCCAACAGCTGCTACATGTAACTTGTTACCCCGAGACCTGGATCGTGGCAAGTCAGACGTGGTTACCATTATGTCTTGTCACGTGACAGTATATACTTCTTTGAACTTCTTTGATTCAACTTGAATGGTGCACCTCTCGACATGACGCTGGATGAGCGCTTGAGCCTTAGCCGCATCAATGACACATAGGTTGTGTCATTCATTAGCATAAGGGCCGCTAGCCCATTACATCCAGCAGATATCGGAACCCTGGTGGAAAAACATTATCTGATGCAACTCCGATGGCAGTAAAAAAAGGGAAAGTCAGTTGACAATATGTGCAGAGCGTGTCCTTCATTTTTCAAGTTGTTGCTAAAAGCAGTATATTACAAAAAGTCATTGCAGTCAATGTAACGCACCGTAAAGTTCGTCAAGTAACTCTCCGCAGACAGCTTTGCTTGCAGTGAGATGCAGAAAGCATTCTGGCATGTACAGAATTTAAGGTCAGAAAGTCTTTGAAGTCTTTCTTTCATAGTCATACATACGTGGGGGCATACGTTACATTGCAACACGAATAGCAAATACTTGATCGACTTCGCCCGAGCTCATGCATCATGACTAAGCATCGGCTATCAGCGGGTACCTTGGATAGACGAGGCTCAGTCGACATTGACAACGACATTTTAGAACTGACCAGGCCTGTAAGTAGCAGCATTAGTGACACATAGGTAACACATGGAGGCTAACCGCGTGTCATTCAAATCAGCCCTGGGCCGCTAGCCCATCACGTCCAGCAGATAACCCTGGTGGAAAAGCATCCTCTGAGTCCGACTTGGCAACTCCGAGGCCAAATGGGAAAGTACTAGGTGTTTGGTCTACATTGCTGCTGTTGGAAATTTTGCCGCGTCCGAACACTGGTAAGAGGTCATAATGTCTTATATACCATTACATGACCGTATGTGCAGAGCGTGTCCTTTATTTTCATTGCTACTAGCAACATTAAATCATATATTACGACAAGTCCTTGTGGTCAACGTAACGCGCTATGAAGAACCCATCGTTATCCGATGGCCGTAGCGGAGGCACTACCTATCGTAGCTCCAATTGGAGCTAAAATCATAGTTTAAGTTGTTTACATCACCCTTCGCCACTATATATTCGGGTCACATTTGCTCACTTCCTTGTGAGTGACATATACCCTCTCTTGTATAATGTTCCCGACCTTGAAGAAGGAACTCCGAGACCTCATTCAGTATCGCAATGCATACTTTCTCGCATTCTCAGCCGGAACAGGATTCATCTGCCTCGGTTGGGATGTAAGTTTACTGGGTGGCTTGCTCGCGTTACCATCGTTCCAAAAGTATTTCGGTCTGCTCTCAGACTCGGCCTCTGCGCGCGCTAGCTTGAGCGGAAATATTGGTTCGGTCCTGCAAGCAGGAGGCTTGTGAGTGCATCTTCCAGTATGAAGGCTTATTCGGTTAAAGTCATGCCATCAGCTTTGGGGCATTATCTTCAGGCTATTTTACAAGTCGATTTGGGAGGAAGCCTAGCATGTTAGGGTCCGCAATTATCTTCCTCATTGGGAGCATCATTCAATCAACAATCGGAATCGGAATGTCCTCACACGTTGGATTGAAGGTATTCTACTTCTCCCGTTTCTTCGCCGGTATCGGTATCGGTTTGTTATCAGCTTCGATCCCAACATACATATCCGAATGTTCTCCGAGAGCCATCCGCGGTCGATGCATCGGCAGCATTCCGGTCGGAATAGCAATTGGAAATATGCTAGCTTGTGAGTGTTGATCGCTGACCTGTGAGATTTGATCTGACGGGCGATGCATAGTTTGGGTCAACTACGGCGTTTCTCTCAATATCTCACCAAGCCAAATGCAGTGGCGGGTGCCTATTATCGTTCAAGTCATACCTGGGGTACTCTTTTTGTTTTTGATGTATTTCCAGCCTGAGTCCCCTCGATGGCTTGTTGGATGCGGCCGCTACGAGGAAGCAGCTGCAGTCCTCGCATATATCGCGAGAAAGGATCAGGGTGACGATACCGTCGTGGTGACTCTCCGCGAAATTCGTGCCGATTTCGCTGGGAAGCGCAACCTTTCCCTGATCGGCCAAATCCGTAGGATGGGAGAATCGAAAATCATATTTTTGCGCTGCATCATCCCTTCCATCGCTATCGTATTTCAGCAGTGGTCCGGCGCAATCGCGATCACTTACTACACCCCTCAAATATTCGCCAGCCTCGGTTTATCTAGTACTTCCCTGACGCTACTTGATACTGGCATCTATGGTGTCGTAAAATTCGTCGCCACATGCTTCACTTTAACCCACATCATCGAAAGATGGGGTCGGAAGAGGACCATGATCTACGGTGGCCTCTTGCAGGGGCTGATGATGCTATGGGTTGGTGGGTATGCTGGTGCCCACCCCGGCCAGGGCATTGTGCCAACAACCTACATATCTATCGTTGCTGTATATTTCTATGCCGTTGCCTATTGCGCAGGCTGGGGATACACTCCCCACGTCCTCGGCGCTGAAGTCGCCCCAGGACATCTCCGTCCACTTGCCTTATCCCTCGCGTCCGGAACCGACCGGCTTTTGACATATGTCATTGCCCAAGTCACACCCATCATGCTCGACCACATAACCTATGGAACATATATTATTTTCGGCGTCGTTTGTTTCATAATGGCGGCGTGGGTCTACATCTTCCTACCGGAGACGACTGGATACCCGTTGGAAGATATCAAATATCTTTTCGAGAAGGATATCATTATTCGCTCGCTGGAAGATGCGCCCGGGGGGTGGATCTTCCTTGGGACGCGCCGCGCTGCCACTTTGCATGAGCTGAAAAGTATCAGTGCATCCCCCACAGATAGTTCTGAGGAGATTTCGAAGGAGCTCAAATTGCAATCGGACGGAGAGTTGGGGCATGGTCATTCGCTGGGAGGTTCACACAAGTGGGACGAGAGCATTATTATATGAATGCTCCAGTCCATGTTACGAAGGTTTCGAACGATATCGGCTCCGTGTGTATGATGTTCGTATTTTCTTGTTGCTGTTACGCCCTGTATGAAACACTTTCATATGTAGTACTATTTACATAACGCATTGCGCAACCCCAGAATCTCCCCACTTCTCAAAATAAGCTTTCCAAAAGTCACTTGCCATAAACACGTTTTCTTTTTCATCATATTGTTTTGATGATCATATCTCCGATCATTGATTTTCCTTTTAACGGTTTCATGTGACGTTTACGAGATAAGGCCCAAACCGGAGATATTATAAGCTCAATGCTACTTTCCTCCACATTACGATATAAAGCAATGTGACGCTTCGAACGTTCAACCGGAGTGCCCGGAAGGAACCGGCACCACATGTCCAGCCGAGCGAGTGTTCGGTTCCTTTCTTCGTCGTTACAGTCTCCCCCAGCCCAACCACTGTTGGAGTGACCTCTCTGTTGTCCGATAGATGAAGCTGGAATATACAGCAATCTAAAGCAACGCAGTCACGCCAAATCGAGGTCAGTCTGAACTTTTGTATTGCTTTATAACGTCATGCATAGGTACTTCGGCTCACAAAATGAGGGACTTACTTGGTTCTCTGATCTGCGACGACCATCATTAATCCCTGAAAGGCTGCCTCAACTTCAGTGCTCGGATGATGGTCTTGTCCAGTTTGCAGAGCAACACTACCCGCAAGCATTGCCCCATTGCAGCGCCACAAAATACGAGGAGCCTACTGCCACGAGGTTATACCCTTAGTACGCAAAGAACGTTTCAATCCCAAGGGCGACTCCGTGCCTCCAGAGTGGATCGCCGCTGTGTGATGGCACTTACGACGACCAACTCACGAGGAACTCATGACCAGTCCCATCAACCGTTACACTATGGAAGTGTTCGCTGGATGTTCGGATCAAGACACTGGCAACCTCGAATGGGATGTCAAGAACATGAAAGCTTGATCAGATGGTACTGGTGATGAGAACGCGGCTACTGACAGCTCAGGGATTCGATTTTTTCTTCTTTGATGGTGCGCCAAGAGATGAATTCAGAGGTTCACATGTCGCATGTCACGATGTTTGCAATGGTGCGTCGGTGTTAAGTCGAAATTATTGATATATATGGAATGATCCCCAGGATGATGCAATCTGTATTTAGTGCAGATCGACCGAGCGTTGATTCTAATTGGAAATTCATGGGACATACATGCTTGGCACGACCAGCCAATTGAAACCGCCTGAATCACTTCTTGAGGTAGACGACATGGCCATTCGGAACTGTCAAAGTTGCTTTCCCAGCCCGGTTGTTGAAGTATTGGACCCGTCAGGCTTCTGATCGAAAAACGAGCCGCATCTCTGAAAAAAACAGGTGAGGAACGGGTTATTCAGCGCAGCGAGATGGACAAACGTGTTAGAGTAGTACCACGACTTCCATAATCGCGCGTGCCCACCAGTGATTACTGGTTCACTGGTGAACGTATGTCGCGTAACAAGGAGTAATTGCGTAGTAACATATAAAGTATGAGTACCTATGCGTACGAGAGTGACGTGGAGAGTCAGATGTCTTATCTTGATAGATGGTGCTTTCAGACATAAGTGCTTGAGCTACGCGCTTCTTATCGTGGGCTTGGTGTTAGTGATGTTTCATTCATATTTGCGGGCATAGCCTGGACACGTCCCATCTGCAGTCATAACTCGTTAAGCCACATTTTCCCCACTAAAGTCCTACTTACCACAATTGGCCCGACTGAGATCTGATCATGTTCTAGTGAAAAGAAATGGTATGATCCGATAGTCAAGGATAGAACCATCGCGCAAGGTGCAACGAATATTCAACTGGGATAGGACAAGGTTTCCATGTTCAACTAAAGTATGGACCGTAGCCAATTGAGGCCGTATGATCATCCATGCAGTATGGGAGAATGAGGCTGAAAGAAATTTCACCAGTTAAATGATAGTACCACGCAGTGTGCTTCGACTGGCAATGGTTCAGGCAGACCCATCATTTGCTCGAGAACCTAATAGACCACGTCAGAAGCTACTTCCTATACTGTAATAGGCAAATCACCTATAATCACTTCGAGGAACCGTTGGATTTATGGGTGTGCCCGCTGGGAGTGGTGTACTGTGAGTACCCTGAGCCACTGTTGTAGTAAGTGGACCCGTTTGGGTTGCTGTAGTAATAACTCCCGTCGCTGTCGTATGCATGATAGTCAACACCGGTCAACAACCATTCATGAATATTGAAAACGCACTTGTTGGAATAGTGGTATCCAGTGCCGCTGCTACCGTAGTCGCGCGAGCAGTAGTGGTTGCCCTACAATGAGCGTAATGTTGTTAATCACAGCCCCTAACTCGCAAGACGGGCGCTTACTTGGTCATTGGTACCATGGCCAGTGTACGTGTAATCTTTTTCGTTGCTGGACATCGTGAACGTATAAGAAGTAGTGTTGATAGAGGGAGATGCAAGGTGGGTGGTGCACTGGTAAGAGACGAGGTAGCTGCAGTCCTTTTATCTAAGAGTGCTATTTGTCGAACTTTGTAATTTGTTTGTTTGTGTGATTCGCACGATTCGACCTAGTACTGTATTTACTTAATTAGTGTGAACCACATCACTCAACATAAAATATCGTCAAATTTCTGAGTGGGGGCACAGGTTGTCCAATATCCGTGTCATGGAATACTGGCCAGAAGGTGGTCAGCGACTCAGCACTACCTTGAACGTTGGGGTAGTCTCTGATGTGGTGTAAGCGATATGCCTTTTTGGGTATTATGTATCTAACCTGGCACTTGCTATGTCTGTTGAGCAGCAACCATGAACTTTTCTCAACCCTTTGGTTGACCAGTGAGGATATTTCTCCCTGCATCTATGATGCTCCCCGAACCCAAATTCATAAAGATTCTCTCTGGAGATGATGGCAAAGGCATGCCAGAGAGTAGTGATGTGCATGGCCCAGCTTCAAGCTGTGGGCTGGCCAAAGCTGGCCCTAGTTAGGCCGAGCCAGGCCAGGCCAAAGTCATGGCCTGACCACGGCCTAGGGCCTGGCCTGGGCAGTTGGAAAGCCGGAGCTGGCAGCTCGAGCCATGGCTTTTACTCTTACAGCTATACTAGTCATCTGAGACAACAACGAGCTCAATTGTTCATGTATCACTCTGACAGTCCCAAAGTTGCAAATTCTCCTTTGTCTGAGTCGAGCCCTCTAACGGTCCTTCAAACAAGCCTCAATTAAAACCACTGAAATCCTTGGCACTACTTCCTCCTTACCACGGACTCATCTGCATGTCAGCAGCTTCTGTGAATCCAACACACATTTAAGCACATCTGAGACGTCCGATGGAATAGAGGCCCGAGAGAAGTCGAGTGTTTGATGAGTGTTTGCAGAGCTTAGCCAAAAGGAGCATCAAGTGAGCGAGCATTCTCGCAAGGTGGGATCACGATCAGCAAGCGGTGCAATCGGTTGAAAGGAGATATTGTCGAGGCACTACAGTGCGTCAAGTGTTCTCTCCATAATGATCTTTTATTCCAGGAGCCTGGCCCATCTTCCCTTGTAGAAGAGGAAACAAAAGACTCCGAACACAAGGCTGAGGTGTTAGAAGTCGAAGCAGCAGATGATGAGGGGTGGGATACACTGCTTTTAGGTGACGATGACAATATGTCAGGGTCTGATGTTGATTCAGCAGATGACAACTAATGTTAGTATACTTGAATTGAATATAGACTCTTTTCTTTCTTGAAGGCCATGAATGAGCCCAAGCCGGCCACGGCTTTGGCCCACGGCTCGGCCTGAATTTTTTCAAAGCCCAAGCCTCCCCAGGCCAGGCCTAAGCCGGGGCTTTCAGGCCAAGCCAGGCCCGCACATCACTACCAGAGAGTTTTGAGAGTAAGTGGTTCAAACCTTTCGAGGATGAGTCTTAAATATCCTACTCTTCCAAGATCTTCGCACATCTAAGCCAAAACCAGGGCCCCATGGACAGAATCAAACCTGAGCTATATTTCCGGTATGTGCATCACCTACCAATCATTTTGAATTAGTCACATTGACATGTATAGAACCATGAGGATAATATATGGGACTGTAAGCAACCACTCTGAGTTTAGAAGATATTATATCCTGACTCTTCGAACTAGTTGATATGCTTTTAGGTGACTCAGTTCTTCTGACTTGTTATTGTTCTTGTAGTGTGAGCAGCTCAGCAAACTTGATCTTGCTGACCTTGACAAGAAGGATATTGTGATCAAGATACACTTGAAGTATGTTCCTCGTGTTGATGATGACCCACCTGCTGACATGCTCTTCAAAGGTTCTTGCAGGATGCTGATGGTAATCCTTGTACATGGCACTGGAGGATGAACTACAGAGTAGCAAACATGCAAGGAATGCAAAATCAGGGATCTGGTTCCCATACATTCAACAGATCCTCTCTACTGTAAAGTATGCCTACCTGCTTTCCCCTCTTGTTTGTGTCTAATTGAAGCCTTATCTAGCCTATCTTTCCATTCCACTCTTCTAACTAATTGTGGCACAGAGTTTGACATTGTCCGCCATCCGGCCATAACAAGCTTCATGGGATCTAGCCTTCCCTCCATAATGAACAACTTCTTTCCATCGATACACATTGTGTCCCTACCAATATCTAACATCCTTGATCATGGTCGCTCTCATTCCCCTCATGAGCATCCTGCATTGCTTCATTTTATACATCATCGGTCCCCCACAAGTCATCTTCGTTATTGGTCGTTCCAATAGCCCACATGGGAGATATCACACTATCCTCTATTCCTGCACTCAGACACACTACTTTTGCCTTCAATTTCCCTCCCTTTCCATTCGTTCGGTCCAGATAATTGATAATACCATGGTTTTGCAGAAAATGTTGAGCCATTGTATTATCAACTATCTAGCCTTATACAATCACTGTCACTTCTACTCATGTTTCCTTGCCCTCAGACAGGTGATTCCCAAGATTTTGAGGGCTCGTAGCTATCACTAACCTATCCAATCTGACGTTCCAGACTGATTGTCCAGAGGTCTGTTCAAAATATTATCATTATTGAAATATTTATATCTCCTACTACCCCTTGATCGGAGGGTCTTGGCGTAGAGGTGCTTGAGTGTATGCTGTTACCCCATGCCATGACAACGAAGCAACAGAAAAACCGCCTCTTAGTCACAAACTAAGTGGCACCCTGAGCAAGACCTCAAACACCCCTCGAGGACATCGAGCTCAACAAAGTCAACAACACCTAACAGCACCCTTTCTCCTCTCTAGACCTTTCAAAAAACCAATAAAACCTTCAAAAAATAATAAATAGATACCTTACCGTAGACTAACACATAGAAATGCCTCTGAAGCAGATCCCCAACACCGAAACAGACCCTCCAGACCTGCGCGCCCTGTCCCCTACAAATAGCCCACACACCAGACACAATTCAAAGAAGGCCTCCCAGGAAGAAATTGAAGCATTGCTGAACAAGGTCATGGACACCAAGAGCGCAGAAAGTTACCTTCAAATCACACTGCTAAGTATTCAAAATCAATCATTCACACTGACACACCTCTCTTCCATCCTATTCCATATCACACAGATGACAACTGGAATACCTCTCCCAGTAACAACAGCAATCAGAGCAGTAGCATTCATCCTGAAGCGACACACAGCTTGCAAAATAGCTGAAGCGGCAGCCAAACACCTCTCTGACTCCATTTCTCCAAAGATCACTGAACAAGTATTAGCAACTCTGACCCCACAAATAGATATGATACGCAAACTCTCAGAAACCCTCACCTCCACAATCCTCAAAGCGGAAACTCTTTGCAAGAACATCCAATATGAATGTGAAGAAAAAGAAAACAACTTCCAAACAGCAGCAGAATGCATAGAGGAGGCCACTAACAACCTATACAAATCAGTAGACAAATGCAAGAATGCAGTGAACAATCTTCACCCAATACTAACAGCCACTCAAGACAAAATGAAGCACTTAGCCACAGCACCGACACCAGCCCAGAGTCCAGCCCCCACTGCAAACTCACGTCCGACATACAGCTCCATAGTAGCAATGTAACTTCCACCGCAAGTAGACCAAGCTGTAGCTCAGGCATCCATTCGGGCGAGACAGGTCCTCTTAACCCCAAAGGTAGGAGACTCCATTTTCCCAAACATTAACCAACACACAGACATCATCAAAATCATAAAGCAAGCACTAACCAACAGTCAACAAGATGGAGCACCAGAAGGCAACATTAGGGTGGTGCAATCCTTACGCAGCGGAGCAATCATAATCGAACTCGACAATGAAAACTTAGCGAACTGGTTAAGAAGCCCAAAGGGAAAACAAAGCCTTGAAAGCAAACTGGGCCCATCAGCATCACTGTGAGAACAAACATTCGGCATCATACTTCAATACTTACCCATCTCGCTCAAGATCGAACAAGAGGACTTCCTCTGAGACTGTGAAGAGGAAAATGCCCTCCCAGCTCACTCACTTCATTCCATGCGCTGGATCAAGCCCTTACAATGACGATCCCAAGAACAAAGATGAGCATTTGCAATACTACAGGTAAAAGAAGTAGAGACGGCTAACAACATTCTAAAGGAAGGACTATGCATCAAAAGCAACTGCATCATGGTTCAAAAGGACAAGAAGGAACCAATCAGATGCATCAAATGTCAACACTTCGGACACATAGCACGCAACTGCAAGAACTCAGCAGACATCTGCGGCACATGTGGCAACTCCCACTGCACAGCTGAATGCAACGCCTACCGAATGGGACACTGCATCAATTGCCAAACCACGCACCATGCCAGCTGGAGCAGAGCCTGCCCAGAATTCAAAAGACAATGCAAAGTACCCAGAAAATTGGATGCCCTTCTTCCCAACCGACCTCCTCTGGACTCGAGCCATCCACCCTCCTAAATCCCCGACAAGACCACCCCCATTGACATCAAGTCCAACCCGCACCCTAAGATCGAACAACACGAAGCAAAGCACTATAAACTTCCATATGCAAACCCTGTCAATACACTCATCCTCTCCTTTACCTCCATCACCGGCATTCTCTCCTCAACCTCCCTTCTCTCCCTCAATGCCCACCCATCCACTATACCCATACCCACCGGACACTGGGGGTTGGGGCATAGAAAACACCACAGCCGGTGAATACTTCACCCCAAACTCGTCCAATGCCTGAAAGACCAAACACCACCAACACCAAGCTCAAGATATGGCAACAAAATCTCAATGCCTCACTAGCAGCACAAGAATCTCTACTTAACAGCCCTGACGTACTTGACTGGGACGTCTTAATCATCCAAGAACCCTACATTGACTTCCTCCACAACACCCGAGCCAACCATCATTGGCATGTAATATATCCTACTAAGCATTTCACTCACCCCCAACAGTGCACCCGAGCAGTAACATTAATCAAGACCACCATCAACACAAACACATGGCAGCAACTTCCCTTCCCATCATCCAATGTCGTCATAATCCAGATAGCAGGACCAATCAGCAAGTGCACAATACTTAATATATACAATGATTGCACACATCAAGACACACTATCAACAATGGAAGATCACCTCAACAGACACATCTGATCCCTGTGCCCGAACCAAGATGACCTTATGCTATGGATGGGTGACTTCAACCGGCACCACCCTCTATGGGAAGAACAAAGAAACTGTCATCTATTCAATTATACCTCTGCTCAACCTCTTATAGACCTAATTGCTGACTACGGCATGTTACAATTGCTCCCCTTAGGTATCCCCACTCTACAATCAATCAGCGTTGTCTTAATAACCGAGGGTCTTATATAAAGTCGTGTAAATGTAATGACACCACAATTACACTTTGGATAAGACTGCTTGCCAGTCCTCGATTAACACGGTCTACGACTTTTCCTATTTCGTGGTAGATAACGTGTGAGTTCTTGGGAGGCTCGCTAAACTAATCTTTGTCAAGATCAACCTAGCCGGAGCTTTACTTTTCTTTATTGAAACTCAAATCTCTTGTCTAGGAATAAGCTTCTAGACACGTAATTCAGTTTCTGGAATGTATTTGCCTAGGAAATCTCCTTCTAGGCTCTGGACTTGGATACTGGAACTAGCGAGACGTGGTCTCAAATATATGAAATATGACCAAGATCGCTTGGTCTATGGACACCTGACTGTGAGACAATGGTCTCAAATATACGATATATGTTCAAGATCGCTTGAACAAAGGGGACTATAACTTGACCAAGATCGCTTGGTCTATGGGACAACTAGTGAGACGTGGTCTCAACAATATGATAGATGACTAAGATCGCTTAGTCAAAGGGCACAGAGCAATGAGACAAAGGGGTCTCAAAGACAATATATGTGACCAAGAACGCTTGGTCTATGGCACTAATAAGTTTCTAAGGTAAGAAACTTATAATCTCAAGGGAATTCTTTTCCCTGCACTTGTCTCACTTCAAAGGGACTAACTTTGCAAGTGAAATATCTGATAGGCAGATTGCTACAAATGGGAGATCATATTTTTTTGGGGGGAGAATGGGCTCTCCTTATATACATTTTGTGTGGGAAAGTAACCTAGGTTCACAAACAATAAAAAATAAGGAGGACCAATCAAAATATTGGGTCAAACCCAATAAAAGAATAAAATACAAGTGAAAGATGGAGCTATGACATCATTGT